CTCACTGGAAAAGAATGTTGTCTGTTTATACCTGACGACACCAATGAGGTACTAGATCGCGTTAGCCACTTAGAACAAATCGCATATCTTCCCCATGAAGAGCCGAGTTCTTTATGGAAGTGGCTAAGTAACCTGTTCAATTTCTCTAACATAGGAAACTGATTGTTTCAGGGAGCCCTGACTATCCTGTTTGGAATCCTAATGATTTTTGTATGTTTTCAGTTAATCTCCTGTTGTATCCAGAATTGTGTAAGTCACCACCCAGGTGACTGCCCCAAAACAGAGTGCTAATACGATGATTTTAAATATCACTGATGAACAAGGAGATAAAGAACGATTGATATGTGGAACCCGGTAATTGTTGGTCATAGCGTAGCTTGACCAAAAGGAGGGATTGTGAAAGTAGAAAGAATTATATTGTAAAAATAGAATGGATTGAAGAAATGCTGTATGTACCTTTAAGCAGAAATAAGGAATGTTGAAATACAGGTGTCAGGAAGAGAAACATTAAGGTATAGACCAATGAGTCCACTTAAGCTAATGGTGGGACATTAACAGGAGATCGGTAAGAGTTAGTAAGGAAATAAGATATGTGTGTCTAGCCCCAGGTAAACTTAACAATTCTGCTTCCTTTGTTATCTTGTTAAGTTCGCGGCCTTTTATCTGTATAAATAAGATAGTTTGAGTCTTGCATGGTGCTCACATTATCTGGGTGCATTGGCAGAGTGCTGTGCTAATAAACAGAGTGGTTTGACAAATTGTGAGTCCTGAATCTGACTTTGACAGAGCAAAGGGCTGAGTGGGAAATTTTGGGTGGGGGAGCCCCAGGCCAGACAGGCAGACACTCACCCCACCAATGGCTTGTTGTCCTCTGCCACCCAGCTTCCATTGTGTGTGTGTGTGTCCCTGCTGGAGGGGACAAACCCTGCTCCGTGTGTGTGTATGCATGCGTGTGAGCGGTGCACGCTGCCCAGAAACAGCCCTACTCTGTTACACATCATATTCCCTGTACAGCTCTTGATTGAGTGGGATTCCCCTTTCTCCCCCTAAAGAGAAGGAACCTGAGACACAGAGAAGCAAAGAGACATGCCCAAGGTCACATAAAAGAACAGAAACAGAGTGGGGGAACAGATCCCCAGGAGCCCCTGGCTCCCAGCCCCCCATCTAACCACTAGACCCCACTCCCCTCCCAGAGCTGGGATAGAACCCAGGAGTCCTGGTTCCCAGCCCCACCAGGACAGCCGGTCCCTCCTACAGATGTTTCCCAAGGCTGGATTTCCTGGTCAGCCAAGGGGTCTGGTGCCCCAGGGCTGTGGATGCTGGTGCTACCCAGGGTGTGGTGCCATAGGGAGAGGCAGGTGACACTTACCTTGCTGATTCAGAACCAGGACTGGGTCCAGGACCAGGAACAAGAATACGGAGACTTGGACCTGCAGCAAAACCAGAGAGACTCAATTGTCCTGGGCTCTGTTGGCATCCCTCACTACCACCCGCAGCCCCATGCCAGCCCAGGCCTGAGCCCGCCTCCAGCTCTGCCAGTGCCCCTCACTCCTGACCTGCAGCACCTGCTAGCCCTGCCCTGGGCTCCCCGCCCAGGCATTCATATGTAGTGGTGCAGCGCCGGACTGAATCAGACTAGCCACGAGGGGCTACTCAGGTGACCAACGTGTGTGAAAAGTTTTCAAAGCCTGAGATGCCTGGGAGGACAGACCCAGCAGTGTTGGGGTGGGGCTGGGGGGGATTTGCTTTGTTGATTTAGAAGCTACTGGGGGAGCTGCTGCCCGCAGGAATGGGCTCAGGCTCTCAGCAGACTCAGGCAGCATTGCTGGGTCAGTCACAACCAGGGAAGCTTCCCACACCCAGCGATGGGCTCAGGCTCTCATAGAATCATAGAATATCAGGGTTGAAAGGGACCTCAGGAGGTTCTAGTCCAACCCCCTGCTCAAAGCAGGACCAATCCCCAACTAAATCATCCCAGCCAGGGCTTTGTCAAACCTGACCTTAAAAACCTCTAAGGAAGGAGATTCCACCACCTCCCTAGGTAACCCATCCCAGTGCTTCACCACCCTCCTAGTGAAAAAGTTTTTCCTAATATCCAACCTAAACCTCCCCCACTGCAACTTGAGACCATTGCTCCTTGTTCTGTCACCTGGTACCAGTGAGAACAGTCTAGATCCATCCTCTTTGGAACCCCCTTTCAGGTAGTTGAAAGCAGCTATCAAATCCCCCCACATTCTTCTCTTCTGCAGACTAAACAATCCCCGTTCCCTCAGCCTCTCCTCATAAGTCATGTGCTCCAGCCCCCAATCATTTTTGTTGCCCTCCGCTGGACTCTTTCCAATTTTTCCACATCCTTCTTGTAGTGTGTGGCCCAAAACTGGACACAGTACTCCAGATGAGGCCTCACCAATGTCAAATAAAGGGGAACGATCATGTCCCTCGATCTGCTGGCAATGCCCCTATTTATACAGCCCAAAATGCCGTTAGCCTTCTTGGCAACAAGAGCACACTGTTGACTCATATCCAGCTTCTCGTCCACTGTGACCCCTGGGTCCTTTTCTGCAGAACTGCTTCCTAGCCATTCGTTCCCTAGTCTGTAACAGTGCCTGGGATTCTTCCTTCCTAAGTGCAGGACTCTGCACTTGTCCTTGTTGAAACTCATCAGGTTTCTTTTGGCCCAATCCTCTAATTTGTCCAGGCCCCTCTGTATCCTATCCCTACCCTCCAGCGTATCTACCACGCCTCCTAGTTTAGTGTCATCTACAAACTTGCTAAGGGTGCAGTCCACGCCATCCTCCAGATCATTAATGAAGATATTGAACAAAACCGGCCCCAGGACCGACCTTTGGGGCATTCCGCTTGAAACCGGCTGCCAACTAGACATGGAGCCATTGATCACCACCCGTTGAGCCCGACGATCTAGCCAGCTTTCTATCCACCTTATAGTCCATTTATCCAGCCCATACTTCTTTAACTTGCTTTCAAGAATACTGTGGGAGACCATATCAAAAGCTTTGCTAAAGTCAAGGAATAACACATCCACTGCTTTCCCCTCATCCACAGACCCAGTTATCTCCTCATAGAAGGCAATTAGGTTAGACAGGCATGACTTGCCCTTGGTGAATCCATGCTGACTATTCCTGATCACTTTCCTCTCCTCTAAGTGCTTCAGAATTGATTCCTTGAGGACCCGCTCCATGATTTTACCAGGGATTGAGGTGAGGCTGACTGGCCTGTAGTTCCCCAGATCCTCCTCCTTCCCTTTTTTAAAGATGGGCACTACATTAGCCTTTTTCCAGTCATCCGGGACCTCCCCCGATCGCCATGAGTTTTCAAAGATAATGGCCAATGGCTCTGCAATCTCATCTGACAACTTCTTTAGCACCCTCGGATGCAGCGCATCCGGCCCCATGTACTTGGTGATCGTCCAGCTTTTCTAAATAGTCCTGAACCACTTCTTTCTCCACAGAGGGCTGGTCACCTCCTCCCCATACTGTGCTGCCCAGTGCAGCAGTCTGGGAGCTGATCTTGTTTGTGAAGACAGAGGCAAAAAAAGCATTAAGTACATTAGCTTTTTCCACATCCTCTGTCACTAGGTTGCCTCCCTCATTCAGTAAGGGGCCCACACTTTCCTTGACTTTCTTCTTGTTGCTAACATACCTGAAGAAACCCTTCTTGTTACTCTTAACATCTCTTGCTAGCTGCAACTCCAAGTGTGATTTGGCCTTCCTGATTTCACTCCTGCACGCCTGAGCAATATTTTTATACTCCTCCCT